ACAAAGGAGAAAACTGAGGTTCAGAGAGGCTCACTGCTTAAGTTAACTATTTAACCTTGACTGGAATCTAGTGTCTTACTTGCCAGCTTAGTGTTATTTCCAGAGTAAAGTGCGAGTTGATTATATTTATTAGAAGGTATTTGTTTTAGATATGTTAAAATGTATTACAAAATTGTTATCAGCTCCAAATTCCACATAGGTATATTTTTGGATTTGAACCACTTAAAGTAAGCTAAATATTATGTTATAAATTGAGATGGTCTTGTTGGGATATTTCAGATATCCTGGTTAAAAATGAAGGCCAACCAGGATGCATTTCTAATGGATCTCTCCAAGACCCTCATCAGTAGAGTCTGAGATTTGAGGTACTCACAAAGAACTAGCCTTGGTAATCACAAAAATAGTCAAAATACCAGAGGTTCTTAATGTAATTTTCTTTCTTTCTTTTTTTTTTTTTTGAGTTGGAGTCTTGCTCTGTTGCCTAGGCTGGAGTGTAGTGGCATGATCTTGGCTCACTGCAACTTCGGTCTCCCAGGATCAAGTGATTCTTTTGCCTCAGCCTCCTGAGTAGCCGGGACTACAGGCACATGCTACCACCTCGGGCTAATTTTTGTATTTTTACTAGAGACGAGTTTCACCATATTGGCCAGGCTGGTCTGGAATTCCTGACCTTGTGACCTGCCCATCTCTGCCTCCCAAAGTGCCGGGATTACAGGCATGAGCCACCATGCCTGGCCCTTAATGTAATTTTCCATGATTCCACTGACATGAGGAAAATAATATGTGTTGAAATGGAGATGCCTATGTGTAAGATGGATCAAGAACTTTTTTTCTTCTTCTCAGTCCTTTTAAGGATTGAAATGAAACATTGGGAGAGTGAAAGTTCTCCAGGTGATTCTGTTGAATGGTAAATTCATCGATACTCTTTAAGCTATGATCCTATCTTAGAGAGCAAACTAAAATGGCATTTGTAGGTGGAACTGGCTTTGTGCAGTTGAGATGTGGCTCTTATTGGCTAAAATTATACCATAGAGAAATTATTGTGAAATAAGTATTTTTGGCATATCGCCTATGTTTAAAAAGGGTACACACTCATGCTTTGGTATTTGGGAAGACAAACAACATTTCTGGCAGATAGAAAACATATGGCTATAAAAACTGTAATGAAAAAAATTTCCTTACAGACGATATCTCAGAGGAGTTTGCTCCAGAGTGCAATTTCTGGTTACTTCCTTTTACAGGAGCATAGATTTTTGCTTTTTTAAAAAACAAGTTTCTGACAAAAAAGAACTGAATTCTTCTCTAGTTATTTTTCTAGACATATTGAATATATGAGTGTTTGTCCGTGCATACATATTAAGAAACTATAGTTTTTTGATGAAAAATCTGTCTCCAAAAGATGTAATCTATGCATAGGAAAAAAATAGAGATTTAGGTCCTCTATGTATTATAAAGTAATTTAAGATACTCTTCTGTATTTCTAGATGGGCTCTTTCTTTTCATTCAAGAGGATGCCATTTAGGTGGGAACTATGAAAGTGCAAACATCATCACAAGTTCACTGGCATTAATCCACAGGCCAACTGGAAATGAGAATAGAACGTCTCTGAGTGAACACTTGACATAGGACACTGGGAGAAGCAGTGCACACTGATGGAATGGGCAAGTGGTTCATGCCAGAAGATAAAGGACTTAACATACCAGAAGCAGGTACAAATATACAGTAACTGGGAAAATGAAATAATGCCTGAGAAAACAATAGAAAGAGCTAAGAAAACATTACAGAGGAAACACAGAGCATTCAACAAACCAACAGGAAAGTCTTCCTTAAATTAACGGGAATCTCATTTAATTGTCATGTTGACTTTAGTTTTCTCCTCTATCCTTTTCTCTCCTCTCTCTCCCCAGTTAAATATTTATTTGCACATGTACACATTACTTATACATTTAAAAATTCATCTAGCCCATTAAAGCAAAGAGATGGAATTCTAGGTAGCTAAGGGGAATTCTTGATATTAGTGTGGTGGGCACCACTCAGTTAAAGGGAGAAAACTTCCCACTTATTGCAGACAGGAAATGAGGCAAGCCACACAGCACAAGGGGATATGAGCAATTTCCAGGAGGAACTTCATACCTTAATATATGACTGGACAGAATGATCCAGCTGCTCCTCATGGCATTTGGCCACAATGTCAGTCAGAACCCTGGAAAAGCAAAGCTGATCAGTGGCCTTTCTGGAGAAGGCAGAAAAATCCCACTTTAGTTTGTCATTAGAGTGCTTCATAAATTGGGTATTTAATAGTTACTGGGTGAAGGAATGAACCAATCTCTAACTCTTTCCTTGCCCTCCTCACCCCCATAACCCAATACTGGGCTTTTAACAGCTATAGCACTGATTAGCCATTTCCTACTTTGAAACTTTGAAACACAAAGATATAAGTAGTGTCTTATGGTTATAATTATCACAATGGAGACTTTTTGCCCAAGTTGAATGTGCTAATTATGGTCTGTGCATTTTTTGACACTATCTTTTTGCAAAAGGGATTATTTTTAGTACCTAATTTAAACTTAAGACTTTTAATCCCAAATTAATAATCATACTTCATTTGAAAAGGGCTTGCCTTTCAACCCATAGGCACTATATATGGTTTCGGAAAAAGCAATTTGGCCAAGACGCAGTTGTTCTGTTTTGCTTTGCTTTTCCCTTAGCTGGGTTGGAATTTCTAGCAGCAACGATGGTAGACGTCGATTTTTTTTTTTTTCTTCACATTAACACTACCAGCTGCTCCATGGCTATAATGCTTAGGAACATCTCAGAATTTCAACAGATCTATTAGCTGCCATATTTAGGAGACTTGCCAACACGGACACATTCGCATGCTGAAAAGAGTATGAGTTGAAGGCACAGTTGGGATACTCTAATGTGGCTCCAGAACTGGATGGTTGTGGAGCCATTAGAGATATTTAAATTTTCTAGGATTTCAGGCTCTGCTTTAAAAACTAGGCTAAGAACCCTTATTTAGAGAAAGGTCAATAATATGTCTTTGAATTAGAAAGATATTGGAAACACTTCAATGCCAAAATAACATTTTTTTTTCCAGAAGGCTGTAACTAAGTTTTTATAAAAAAACTAAGCTCACAAATACATGATTTAATAATTTTTTTTTTCTTTGAGACGGAGTTTCACTCATGTTACCCAGGCTGGAGTGCAATGGCACGATCTCAGGTCACCGCAACCTCTGCCTCCTGGGTTCAGGCAATTCTCCTGCCTCAGCCTCCTGAGTAGCTGGGATTACAGGCACGCGCCACCATGCCCAGCTAATTTTTTGTATTTTTTTTAGAAGAGACGGGGTTTCACCATGTTGACCAGGATGGTCTCGATCTCTTGACCTCGTGATCCACCCGCCTCGGCCTCCCAAAGTGCTGGGATTACAGGCTTGAGCCACCGTGCCCAGCCGATGATTTAATAATTAATTCAAAACATTATAAAGAAGAAATTGTGATCTGTGAAGGCATTGGCCAGGTTAGAGATGTTGGAAGAATTTAGTATAGCCAAATTTAAAGTGAGAACAGTTAAAAAAATTTAATATTTTAAAAAAACTTTCTTGAGGGAAGGCAAAATGCTACAGCCACTCTGGAGAACAGGCACTTTCTTAAATATCAACATGCGACCACCTTATCCTCCCAGCAATTACACTCTGGACATTTACTTCAGAGGAATGAAGACTTATATTTACACAAAACCTGTACATGAATGTTCATAGCACGTTTATTCATAATAGCCCTAAACTGGAGACACTTCAGATGTCCTTCAACAGGTGAATAATTAAACACACATCATGGAATATTACTCTGCAACAAAAAGGAGTGAACTACTGATATATGCAATGATCTGGGTGAAACTCCAGAGAATTATGTTTTGTGAAAAAGCCAATTTCAAAAAGTTACATACTACATGATTCCACACCGGTATGGAAGATGTTGCCAGTGGGGAAAACTGGGTAAAGGGCACATGGGAAACTCTGAATTATGTTTTATAATTGCATATAAATCTACCATGATCTCAAAATAAAAAGGTTAATTAAAAAATCAAAGAAAATGCGGTCTAACACTTTACTGCTAATAATAAGAGATTAGAAGGTAAGGAGTCAAGAGTGGGAAATGCTTGTACTTGAGATGTGTTCAAGTAAATGTAAACACACAGTGGTAGATGGCTGTTTATTTATAATCAAGAGTTTGCGTAGCTACAGTTTATAAAGTCTCTTCACTTAAGGTTGTGTTATGGGTACCTGGTGACGGTTGTAGTTACTTCATCTTCATCATTCTGTACCAGAACTTTGAAGAGCTGATTCAAAATTATAGGCAGAAAACTCACGATTGCATGAATCTTTTCCACATTCAATAAGTTCTGTAGCAAATTGGCAGAAAAAAATGATAACATTTAAATTTTAACATGTCCTGGATTCAAGTCCTGAAACTATAAAGCTTTGAGAAGAAAGCATAAGGAGAAAAGCTTATGACATTAGACTGGGCAATGATGTTTTGGATATGACCCTCAAAGCTCAAGCAGCGAAGTGAAAACAGACAATTGGCATTATATCAAACTAAAAGGTTTCAACAAAGCCAAGGAAACACTCAATGGAGGACAGAGACAACTAGAGAATGGAGGAAAATATTTATAAACCATATATCCTAGAAAGGGTTATATGGTTTATATAGAGTTTCTAGGGTTATATAAGGAACTCAATATGTAAAAAATATATAAATATATAAAGAACTCAACTCAAAAGTAAGAAAACAAATAATCCAATAAAAAAGCAGGCAAGGGACCCAAATAGACATTTCTCAAGAGAAGACAGATGTACAAATGGCCAACAGATATATGAAAAATGTTCAACATCATTAATCATTGGAGAAATGCAAATTAAAACTACATATCTGTTAAGATGGCTATTATCAAAAAGGTGAAAGATAATAATTATCGGAGAAGATGTGGAGGAGAAGGAACACTTGTACATTGCTGGCAGGAATGTAAATCAGAAGAGCCACTATGGAAAATGATATAAGGTTCCTCAAAAAATTAAAAATAGCACTACCGTATAAGCTAGCAATCCCACTACTGGATGTATATCCAAAGGCAATGAGATCAGTGTGTTGATGATGTCTATGTTTCCATGTTTATTGTAGCACTATTCACAAATGCCAAGATATAGAATCAACACAAGTGTCCATTAACAGATGAAATGGGTAAAGAAAATACGGTACATAAACATGATGGAATATGATCCAGCCTTAAAAAGGATGGAAATTAGATCATTTGCAACGACATGGAAGAATGTGGAGTATATTATGCTGAATGAAATGAGCCAGGCACAGAAAGACAAATACCGCATGATCTTATTTATATGTGGGATCTAAAAAAGTTGAATTCATAGAAGTAGAGAGTGGAATGGTGATTACCAGGGGCTAGGGAGGGGAGTGCTGGGGAGATGTTTGTCAAAGTCTGCAAAATTTCAGTTAGGAGGAATAAGTTCAAGGGATCTATTGCACAACATGGTGACTATAAGTAATAAAAATGTGTTATATTCTTTTTTTGAGAATAACCAAAACAATATTTTATTAAAAATTTTTTAAATTTTTATTATACTTTAAGTTCTGGAGTACATATGCAGAATATGCAGGTCTGTTTAAAAATGTGTTACATTCTTAAGAATTTCTAAAAGAGTGGATATTAAGTGTTACAACCATAAAAATTATGTGATATAATAAATACAGTAATTAATTCAATGAAGCTCTTACATAATGTATACATATTTCCAAACATCATACTGCATACAAAAAAGGTATACAATTTTTCTTTGTTAATTAAAAAATGAATAACTACATTAGAAAAAAATAAAGTATGTTCTGCTGGTATTTCTTTCAGAACTTGAATATGAGCACTGTAGCCCACCTTTATCTGGCTTTGGCTTTATTCTTTATTGCATTTAGTATGGGATATAGTCATGATGGTAATGTTGCAAAGACTCTTGATTTAATAGCTAATTTAAAATAAATTGATTCTGATTTTCAATTATTTTTGTTTTGAAAAAACCTGATTTGTGGCTGTCTTTCTAGTCAAGAAACAGAAACTATTCAGAAATTATGAAATAAAATCATCTACTCTCTGAATTGATAAGGTATTTAAAAATCTTGAGTAATAATCACCTCCCAGTTCACTAATCAGTGGAAAATAAAGGTCTCATCTCCCCGTTTTTACCCTGGAGGTCACTGAAAGTACTTGCACGTCGTGTTACCTTACAAGAGCGGACGAAATTTGAGGTAGGTGACTGAGACATGTCTTTCTCTCTTTTTTGGCACTCTTGGAAAAATGCATTCACATGTGGATCCTACAACAGCAAAACAAGTGTTTATTTCTGATGACACGTAAACTGTGTTACAAACACAAGCCGTTGTGATGTGAGGTAAGCATTTCTGTAGGACTGATGCCTTGAAGTACAAATGCTTTATTAAGGAGTCAGAGGAACAAAGCTTTGATGTGGACATTTCTGGCCTAGTGAGGGCTCTGCCTGAACTACAAAGCCCACTCTCTCTCATTTCATTCTAAGAGGTTTTGTTGTCCTGTTCAACAGCATGACCATGGCTGGAGAATTACTTCCTGTAGTTGTGCTTTTCGTTTTTAGAAAAATTTTCTTCATTTATCTTCCCACTCCTGCTTCTTCAATAGACTCCCACCAATTTCTTCTACACCATCCTTGACACACATGACAATGCATACTCTTTAATATCCACAGGCGTATTTTCAGGCTTAGAATGCCTGAATTTGCCCCATATTAGAAAATCTACAACTCACATCTTCAGATAAAATGGGCTCTAATACTTGAAGTTCATTTCCTGAAGAAGGTGGTACCTGGAAAATTCTCTAAGTTCTGCCCTGAGGGCGGGAGCTACAGAGTTAAGCAGTAAGATAATTAATTTGTATGAGGACACACTCTGAATGTTTCTCTGGCTTTCTATGATTCCAGAAAGGCATCTGGAGTTTGGGTTTCCCTCATTTCCCTCAGGTCACTGTGTGTGCGTGCTATTTTCTGTTTTCTAAATGTAGCTCTTTTTTGAGTAGAGACAGCTGTTCTCCTTTTAAGTATCACTTCACTGATTCACCTATTTGGTCATTATTTATGGAAAGCTGACTGCATGCCAGGCTCTTAGCAGGCACTGAGAGAGGACAGAGTAGAGGGCAAGGCAGGCGGCCCGACCCCTTCCTCTGTGTATCTTCCATCATGGCGGGGAGACCAACACCACACCATGACTTCCACACACACCTGTGTAATCACATTTGATGAGCGCTTCAGACACAAAGCAGGTGCCATCTGGATGAGTGACAGGATGGTCTAGCTTTGCCCGTTGAGTCAGGAAACAGGGAAGGCTTCTTTGAGGAAGTGACTCTTAAATTGAGTTAAGAGTTTAACTCTTACATTGAGTTAAATTTAACCCTTAAATTGATGTAAGAGCTGAAGGATGGGTAGGAACCCACCAGGCCAATAAGGGGAAGGAAGGGAGAGTGGGAGAGCTTCCCTTCCCCACTGAACAGGGGCTAAGTGTCAAAGGGATCACTGGGTCTTGGGGAAACTAGTGGATGTTGTTTGGCTGGAGGGCCTTGGCTGTCTGAAAACTGAGGTAAACGCTGCCAGTGTGTGGGTGGTGAAAGTTGAGGCAGAGACAGGGTGTGTCGTGGTGAGTTAGAGACCTCAGCTAATTTGGAGAAAGAAGCTAGAAGCATAAGAAAGAGAAAGAGAGGAGCTGCTGAGATACACAAAAATACAGGGTTTGGTGGAGATGGGGCATTTTGTGGAAATTGGCCAGAGCTGATGGCATCAGAGAAAAGGTAGGTTTAAATAGTTGTGGGTGCAGGGCTGGGGATAAGAACTCAATTGGACTCGAAGCATCAGAGGTTGCCAAGAGAAATTTTGGTCCAATGTATATATGATACCTGGATTATTTCATTTTTCCTATGGATCAGGTATGGCTTTTAGACAAAGCAGCATGAAGCAAAAAATGAAAAGCAGATACACATTGAATTTAAGAAAGGAGAAATACATATGTTATGTACTTGTAATAAGAATAGTTTAGCTGTTGCCAGAAAACTCACATTGTGGTAAAATAAGCCTCCTTGCCATGGAAAGAATGAGTTTGTGGTAATTTAACAATGGTAATAATTATATGCGTATAGACTTTTGCAGTTCATGAAATATTTTGATCACATTTTGAAATATTTTTCCTCTGGATCACATTTGCTACATCCTTAGGTAGCAGAGACTCTGTTAATATCATTTTCCTGAGGAGGGAATGAGGACATCAGAGCTAAAGTGACTTGCCCAGGGTCACTGAGCCAGAAATTCGGTGGGGTGCCTCTCAAACGCAGTTCCGCCAACTTCATGACCTTCTCATTAGGTGAGCCCTGGGAAAGCATTGGGGATTGAACTTGGTTTTCAGGTAAAGGTCTGAAGTCTTTATTTTTAACATTTAACATTTTTAACACTTGAGTGTTGTCAGTGGAAGCAAACCATACTCCAAGGGGTCTGTGATCCTAACATACTTTGGTATTTTGGTCTGAAGTTTTATGGTGTCTGGGGTTAAGGGATTAGGAGTCTATCTTTCTTGAGGGAGGCATCAAATTATGCCCTTAACATTCTTCCTTGGTAGTATTCAGACACCTGCCTTTCTGACATTTCATGAAATGATTAGACTCATCCTGTGAATATGGGAATTACCTCACAATGCTGTGAGTTAGAGAAAATGCTAGTATTTCAGGTCAACATACTCACCTGAGTATTTATTGTTGATACAACAAATGTCGACACTTTGAAAAGTGGTTTGCCACCATCAACCCATTTAATGTCACTCCCACTATGCTGCAAAATAAAGTTTGTTTACTGTCATTGTGACCATTTGAGAGAAAGTAAGTAGATTATTTCGTTTATGTTAATGTGCTCTTATGATCCATTGATCTTGTATCACCATAGAGGTGGAAAATAAAAAATGCAAATACATTTAGCACTATTGGTAGATGAGACCGATATGATATCGGGATCATTTTTAACAGATCATTTCTAGTGGCCATAAGCTAAACAAGAGATGTGGCATAAGGACAAGGCTACCAGGGACGTATCCTCTGTGATCTTAATTTAAATAGCAGAGAAAGAATACAACCTTATGTCATTTCGCTGTTATGCTTTTTTAAAATCTTAAATTATACATTATTCAATACCTTTCCGCTTGCAGAATCTTGAAAGCTTATATAATTAGGAGGCAGACTTGTTGCTATTGGGATGTTGTACTCTTGAGAAGCTATCTGATCGTGTTTCATCAGAGGAAGCCAAGCATATCCAACTGTGTAAAGAAATAACAAACAAAAATTTTGAGTATGAACCTCTATGGTGAGAAGTCACAATAACGCTATTTATTATTTATGAATACTAAACTTCATGAAAAATGATTCAGTAAATCAGAGCCAATTCAAACAGAAGACATGTGACTATGCCTAAGATTGCTTCCTGGCGGTACCTGATGTTTCCAGAGCCTCCTTCTTTTTGGCGTTGGCTTTTGCATTGATGTCACAGGTGACGTGATAAAAAGAAAACAAAATATGGTGTTTCTCATGGAGTTGTGTTGGTAGCTCAATTTTTACCTGCAAGGAAAGAAACCATAGTTGGACTGAGATTAATATTACTTGCCCAAGATCAGAGCAAGACAAAGCATAGCTTTTAAAAATTCTTGTTTTTTTCTTTTTTGCAGACAGAGTCTTACTCTGTCTCGCAGGCGGAAGTGCAATGGCACAATCCAGGCTCACTGAAACCTCTGCCTCCCAGGGTTCAAGCAATTCTCCTGCCTTAGCTTTCCCACTAGTTGTAATCGCAGGCACGCACCACCATGCCAAGCTAATTTTTGTACTTTTAGTAGTGAAACGGGGTTTCACTATGTTGGCCAAGCTGGTCCCAAACTCCTGACCTCAAGTGATCCGCCTGCCTCAGCCTCCCAAAGTGCTGGGATTACAGGCATGAGCCATCACACCCAGCCTAAAAGTTCTTTAACTGAAATCTAGGTCCATGTTTAATAGTGTTGAATGCACTGATTTAATGCTGAATAAATATTGTTTCTGCCAGCAGTGATGTATTCACATGTTGATATTTTTGCTTCTTTACTGTGATGGATGATGATAATTTAGAATACCTAGTGTTTCTCGGTAGATAATTTATGCTACCAGGGTATAGATTAAATACATGAACATACATATGCATAAACACACACAGATATAACTGCAGAATGTAGATAGGATACACATTGAGGAAGTGTCCTTAAGGGACACAAATTGAATAAAGAGTAAGTCCTTGCCTCCCAGAGTGCGGTTGGGACCAGTTGCGTAACCGTCACTTGGAAGTTCGTTGGAAACGCAGAATTTTTTTTTCTTTTTTGAGACAGGATCTCGCATTTGTTGCCCAGACTAGAGTACAGTGGCACAAACACAGCTCACTGCAGCCTTGACCTCTGGCTTTTTGATTTTTGTTATTCTTGTTGTAGAGACAGATGTCTTACTTTGTTGCCCAGGCTAGAGTCTCAGACACTAATCTAGACACACTCAGTTGGAATCTGCCCTTTCATAGGATCCCCAGGATTTATATGCCCATTGTTGAGAAATACGGTGTAGTAAATGGTGCAGCTTCCGCATGGAATCTATCTCTTTTAAAACTAACCAGCATGTCTGTGTTACTGTGAGAACTAATTAGACATTTTGGGAAGTGATCATGCTGTAGCTACACAAAGAATGCTTCTGAATGAACATAAAATAAAAATTGAATTAGGTTAACAGTATATCTAATGAGGAGCATACTCCCTATTTCTGGAAAGAAATGTGTTCAACTAACTCTCTACATTTTGTCGTGCTTTTGAGTTTTCAAAGCCCTGCCACGTACATCATTTCATCTTCCCCAGTAGCCTTGTGAGGTAGAAAGGCGCAGTGTTAGGAACCAAGGCTGCACGTGTTAGGGGGCTCTGGGTTACTGCCAATGTGGTGTGGTCAGTAAGAGAATCTTCCAGGATAAGAACCCACATCTTGGGATCACCGTTTTACATTGGAATGCCAGGATCCTGTTCAGGTAAGCTGCAGGCAGCTCATTATCAGCAACCGAGTAGTTCCCAGAATTGTACATATTCTCATGTGAAAAAGCTCATGGCTTTCATGAGGCTTCCAGGAAACAAATGAAAATGAGAAAGATTAAAACAGTTAACAACAGTAAAAATATTAATTTAAAAAAAATTATATATCTACAGAAAACGCATCTTCCAGATGGGCTTTGTCAAAGGGTCAGCTGATAACACTAAATGTTCTGCAATGTGGTCATGGTTTTCCCTTAACTGTTTTTCACTTTCTGTCCTGAATTTGTGGTGGGAAAATTAAACACATAAGTGAAATGAGGTCAGGCAGGTAGTTTCGCTGGTATTCCTTTAATTAGTTTTTAAACAATTAATGTCCACAGTGTGGGAGGCAGAAAGACACCACCCCCTAGATGTCCTCCATGTTCTAGTCCTGCCAATATGCTACCTTACATGGTAAGCAGGACTGAGCAGATGTGATTTTAAGTTAAGGACCATGAGATGGGGAGATTATCCTGGATTTTCCAAATGAGGACAGTGTCATCACAAAGGTCCTTATAAGAGGAAGGCAGAGTCATAAGAAGTGAGAACAGAAGCTGAGGTCAGAGTGATGGGATTGTTGGGAAAGTTCAAAAGCCAAGGAATGTAGGCAGCCTCTAGAAGCTGGAAAAGAAGAGGAACTGGAATCTTCCCTAGAACCTCCTGAAGTCTTGTAGCCCTGCTGCAAGCTTGATTTTAGCCCTGTGAGCCATTTCAGACTTCCGACCACCAAAACAGTACGATAACAATTGCATGCTGTTTTAAGCTGCTAAATGGAGGTAATGTGTGAAAGCAGGCATAGAAAATGTCTACAAAAGGTGTGATATTATGAATATCAGCAGGTCACACTAGTCAGACCTTCGCTTTATGGTTAGAAATTAAATTTTATCACTGAAACTTGTTTGTCTAAAGTTGTTTGTAATGTAAGCTAACATGTATAGTAATTGACCAGAAGCCCAATGAGTTTTTCTTTGTGTTAGAGCAGAATGGTGAAGCTTCAGGCTCTGGAACCACATGGCTTGGTTTGATTTCTCTGACTTATTATGTGCCCTTGGTAAAGTTACTTGACTTCTCTGAGCCACAGTTTTCTCATCCATCAAATAGGAAAGTAATGGTGATACCAGCTTCTTGGAGTTACTATGGGGATTCAGTGAGATGATGTGTGTATGGAATTTAGCTTGAGGCTTGGCACATAGCAAGAGCCTTGAAAGTCGGCCAGGGCAAGGCTTGTTTCCTGTCATGTGTAGAGATGAGGGGGTCCAAGATCACTGAATTTCAGGCAGGTTATAAGTAATGGAATTGGCTCAGGCTCTAGTTCTCTGCTCTCTTCCTCATGACATGAAATACTGCTATTGATTGGTAAAGCTATTTAACACAATCTCTTCACTGGCCAGTAAAATAAAAGAAAAACAATTACTCACTTAAAAAGAAAATATATAATAAAAGCATTTTAAAAATCCCATTTTTAAAAGGTCACTTCTGTCCCGAAATACATGAATTTGCAACACACTCCTGGAACAACTGTCAATTAATATAGTTTAGAAATCTTGGTAAATACACACCTGCCAAGGCATGTCCTTAGCCAGATGAGGTCTAGAGAGAGTGTTTCTCACTGCATGGTTATCTGACCATTCACCCACCTTTCTTAGGAGCCTCTGGGGGCAGTGGAGGGCTGACCCTTACCTCATCTGAGAAATCCGGATTCTGGGAGTGGTGCAGAACTGCTGTGTACGCGGCGGAGGTGAAGAGGGGCCCTCCAGGTTTTCCATAAATACACTGTTTAAAAAGTTATGAGTTGAACAATTATGTGTCTGAAATTATCCCTGGGTGAAACAAAGGCCATAACTCTTCAGTTACCAACCCTGGGACAATGGCAAACTTTGTGATAACTTGCGAGGCTAAGCTGGCATCTAATTAACCTTGAACTTCTTTGGCCTACTACCCTGCGTTTATTATACAATGGGAGCTGCTGAAGATAATTTGATGGATTTTGTTCATCATATAGATAACACACCAGGGCCAAATACCTGTGAGACGGGAATAATACAGAGTGGCCACAGGAGAACAGACAATTCCAGGCAGAGGTTTCACACGATTAGCAAAAAGTATACTGTTGAAATAGCCGCATAAATCAGTGGCCAATAAGACCCCAAAAAATAAGATGTGGGCCAAGCTGGCTAAGACCAACTGCATCCAGCATGGTGCTGGATTTGACCTAGGTTTCTCCTAGGACCTCATGCTCGCTAACATACTAAATCACACCCCCACTAGCACCTGGGCAGTTCTGAGAACACCCATATTTGCCACAAATATAGGTGGCGCCACAGTTCTGAGAAATCTTTACCTTCAGAAATCTTCATGAATGTTCCACCCGTGGTTAAAGAAACCCATAAAGATAGACGCCCTAAACTTTCTTGCAGACGACTATCTCTCTTGAGTATACCCACTCTTCTTTCCTGAGTAGGTACTTTTTGCTTTGCAGTAAATCTCTGTACTTTCACTATTTTCTAAGTCATCCTTGAATTCATTCTTGTGACAGTGTCAAGAACCTGTTCACCGGGGTGGAGGTCCTAAATACACTGTTTAAAAAGTTATGAATTGAACAATTATGAGTGTGTGAAATTATCCTTGAGCAGAAAAAAAGGCCAGACTCTTCAGTTACCAAGCCCAGGACAATAGCAATGACTCAGACAATGACCCGGGACAATGGTCAGTGTTTGGGGACCTCCCCTAGCCCAAGGGTATCATGTGGACCAATGTGACTTTTGATTTCCATGGGATAAGTGCTAACTTGTTTAAGACTGATTCCTGTAGAATGGCTTCCTGAACAGACCCTGATATGGTTAGGCTTTGTGTCTCCACCCAAATCTCATCTTGAAATATAATCCCCACATGCCGAGGGAAGGAAGTGATTGGATCTTGAGGGCAGTCTCCCCCATGCTGTTCTCATGATAGTGAATGAATTCTCAAGAGATCTGATGTTTTTATAAATGGCAGCCTCTCTCTCTCTCTCTCTCGCCTGCCACCATGTAAGACGTGCCTCTTCCCCTTCCACCATGACTGTAAGTTTTCTGAGGCCTCCCCAGCCATGCAGAACTGTAAGTTAATTAAATCTCTTTTCTTTATAAATTACCCAGTATCAGGTAGTATCTTTACAGCAGTGTGAGAATGGAGTAATACAGGTGTCATGGAACCAGCTCCGGTCTAGAGTTAAGGTCTTGTGCAACCACAAAGATTGGCTGGGCCCCAGCTCCTGACATGCCAGCTTCTGAGATAGGCTGGTTACAGTCTCCACCACAGTATACTACTATTCTGTCCAGCCCTGAATCAGACCAGGGCTTGTGATATGACACTTTTTTATAACTTATAAGCCCTCTTTGTCCAAAGCTCAGGACTTCTCTTCTGGAGTCTGACATTTGGCTTTGCTGTATCTCTGTGTGATGTTTTAGTATGCAGTGAAGCAGGGGACCCACACACCTGTGATTGCTCTTTTCTAGAATTTTCCCATAAAAACATTGTTCTACAGGCCAGACATGCTTGCCATCTGATCATTGCGTCTGTTGGCTTGACAACTATATTTCACTTGAATCTTTCTCTCCTGATGCTAACACTAGTTTGGAGTTTGGTGCAAGTGGATGCTGATAGTGGCTCAAGGCTATTAAAAAAGAGACTGTCTTTAGTCTGCCTGATTAATTCGATCACTCAGTTGATTATTGCTCTTCCGAATAATGCTGCAAATCAGAAGACCCAATCTGTACCTGGTAGTGTGCTGTAAGAGGCGACCTCAGAGAATGGTGCGGGTTAGTTAGAAATTACTTTTGTCCTCTACTACCTCATACCTTTGATTTGCTGAAACTGTTAAGCTCGGCAGCAGGCCCACTACAAATAATTTCCCCCTCAATTTTTATGGGTTACTTTATGTGGTTTGAAATGCCTAACGTGAAAGCAGCATACGATATATCAAATATGAACTCTAAAGAATGCCATTCAGTTGCAGTTTTATAGAGTAAAACGGCACCTCATAGTTTTATGGATTTTACCAAATCACGTGATCAAAAACTGGGCCTGACTTCCCAGAGCCATTTTTCAGTTCCTCAGGTACTTGGCCACGTGTACCTTCCATAACGGTGAGCATCCCACGGGCCCTCCTACGACCGTCAGGCCAGTATGCAGCAGTGCTTCTGCGCAGACCACACGAGGGCTGGCTGGGATGTTCTGTTTTAAATCAAGCACGCTGAACCGAGAGTCAGGCTAACCTTTGGAAAAGGCAACGTCTTCCACAGGGGAGCCTTTGCATTTACTTCACATTAGAACGGTTTCCTTTTTTCCCAAGTCATGAAAAGCTACAAGAGCGATGAGACTGGCATTTCTAATAGAGCTAGTTAATGATGACTCTTACATCAGGTATGTTTCAGATCTAAAACAAATGTATTAAATCACTGCTCCTTCAACCACACTCACACAAAAAGCCCCGCAATGGTGGAAAGAATCCCTTCACCCGCCTTCCCCCTTTATGCTGGGTCCCTTTGCTGACTTGGCTCACCTTCAGGGGCTTGGCACTTTCTTCATCGGAATTTTTGAATTCAATGCACACAGTTATATTTCGTGCCTGAAATTACAGAGAGAATAAATGGAAATTGTAATTTCCTATCAAATAACATTAAAAAACCCAAGTGCCTAAAATAAGTAGCTTCTAATTAAATCTGAAAAATGTAGAATACCCAACATTTTCTTGTGACATTATCTATAATGTTCTGAAGTAACAGAAGGATCTGGAGAGAGTACTTAAAAGGGAAGTAAAAAGCTCATATTGAAAGGGGGCAGGCATGCTATTTTTAGAATATCTTAAGAAATGAAAAAAATATTATCTAGAACAAAATTATTTCAGACTGATTTAGAAACGATTATTAATGTGCTACAAAACTGCGTCCTTCAACACTTCTAAGATAAAATTCACCACTGTCTCTTACTAAACATTTTCTCCAGATGGTTTTCTATAGGAAAGTGTTGCCCTATAGTAATTTGTATTTGCATATTCAGGACCTATCTTATATGGTCTAAGTATGATGAAAAGAAAAGACGATATCTCAGAAACTTATATCCTACCTTGTTGAAGCATTTCTGGCTATCATACTTGAGGTGTTTGGGGTAAATGTAAATTTGATTTTTATATACTCTATAAGGTCGACAATACTTTGTTGAGTCATAAACAAATTCTTCTACCTCCACTGTGGGATCTGTTTGAGCCGTCATGTTGAAAGGCTTGACAGGAATAAAGGACGATGTTACACAGTCTTAAAAAATCAGAAAATAAGAGTTTGTCATTTAATATGATTCTTTTAAATTGAACAATACTTAACATATTTTAAAATGAACCCACTGAAGATAGACACTCTAGGCTTGTACACCATTTGATATTAACTTAAGCTAGCATGAAAAATTTGTAAGAGGTGGGCATGGCAGATTAACAAGCCACATTATTTAGTATCAGAACTGATGTCTCACAAAAACCAGTTAAGTCTTTTAGATGGATTTTTAAACATTTTCTTTTTGTATTGTTTCCCATAAAAATAAATTTTAATTAATGAACCACTAAATATAATAACCAGCTATTTTAAGAAATAATCCATGAATCTTTGCTATAACACTATAAAAATATTACAGATCCTGCTATATGATTGAAGAAAGCTTTGTCCAATAGATCTATTACTGATAGTACCAAATGGATTAATAACAATATCTCTCTATGAAATAGATTTCACAGGATGGGTGAAGTCCCTCTCTACAACACTGGATGCAGTTTGTCTATTTTTCTCTTCGGTTTTTACCACTTTTTGAAACCTACCCTTGGAAGAACAGCTTAAGAAAAAATGATTAGGAATGTATAAATCAAAACTCCTGTCACCAGTTTGAAGGCTGGAGTTGTGGCACTGAAAGAGCAAGGCCTTCTACCATCCTTTACCCCACCTGAAATCTGACTGTGTTCTAAAAGGCAAAATGATTAGCTACGAATGCTTGAGAATCAGATTACGGTTTTCTTTTTTCAAAAACCAATTATAATATTTTATTATGTGTTCAAATTTCTCTAATGTCCTACCATTCTTCCAAAGAGAA